GCTGAAAGAAGTTGGTGGGCTTCTCATCTTCAGGGTGGACTTCTGAAAGCTGGTCAGACCTTTTGTCCTTCCCACCTTCTCTGTGCGTATCAAGTCCCCACCAGGACCACCTTCAACGGTCACTACCCCTCAAGGGTAGGTGCAGACATTGAAAATAAAAATAACAATACACGTGATATCCTTCCCTATCATTTATCTTAATGATTTTTTGGAGCATAGAATACTTTTTAAAAGCCTTCATCATATGCACCTCAACAGCAGAAAGAGAGCATGCATTTGAAAGCAGCCACTGCCTGGGGACCTAGTGACAAGGTCTCCTCTGGGTATCTGTGTCCAGTCATTAGATTAAGGCCCACCCTTGATTACATCTGCAAAGACCTTATTTCCAAATCAGGTCACATTCTCAGGTGCTACAGGTTGGCTTCAACATATCTCTGGGCAACACAATGCAACTCGCAGCAGTCCTTTAAGAATGAGCATCCTTGGCCGGGCCCAGTGACACACGACTGTAATCCCAGCAGCTTGAGAGTCTGAGGCAGGAGGATCACTAGTTCAAAGCCAGCCTCAGCAAAAGCAAGTTGCTAAACAACTCAGTGAGACTGTGTCTCTAAATAAAATACAAAACAGTGCTGGGGGTGTGGCTCAGTGGTTGAGTGCCCCTGAGTTCAATCTCCAGTACCACCCCCCTGCCAAAAAAAAAAAAAACATAAGAATGAACATCCAGATCTCTGCCCTGTCCCTGACTTCCTTTACCTTCTGTGTGCCTGTTCTTTTTCTGATCCTAATGGTTCTTCAACAGATGTCTGAGCCTGATGAGTGTCTTGAAAGCCTGTGGGGCCTCTTCTAGCAGGTGGTAGCTCCTGGATGTGGTCTTTACATAAGTCCATTTGTGTTGACAGAGATTTTCCTTAGTTGGTTTCTCTTATATATTAAAGGAAGAGGCTTGCATGCTTTTAAAAAACAAAACTTCAAGACACAAATGGGAAATCTGAGAAGGTTTGATTTGTGAGCAAATGTCCTCTATCCTGGGAGCTGCAGCGGGGTCAAGCTGGCTGTCCCAGAAGCTTGTGGGAGCACGTGAGTCCTGGGGACAGGAGAGGAACTGATGAGGCTAAGAGATGCTCAGGTCTGGGGGAATTCTCGGTGCAGATGAAGGGAAGAGACATGAGCAGTGAACCTCCCTGCACTCCAGCCTGTTGGTGTCTACTGTGGCCTACCCTATGGGAGTCAAAGAAAGGAAAAGTCTAGAAGTTGTTTCACTGACTGTTCAATGATCATATGCCTTATGGCCATGGTGGTCAAATCATTTATCATCCCAATAATGAAAAGAGTACAGTTAGAAATGACACCCAGACAATAGGCATAAACTCTACCTATGCCAGGGAAATTGAGGTTCATCATTATTCCTAATCAGGGGAAGAAACACTCCTATTAGGAGGTCTGGGGATTCTCAGACCTCATCGCTATTAAAACAGCTGGCTTACTTGCATTTTATGGGTGTGGTTATAGACTATGTTTCTTTCTTTGCTTTGGCTCAGCCATATTGGTAGGTTGCCTTTTGTAATTGTGCTGGAATTACCAGACATATTCTCCACAGTATTACCAGCTTATCTTACTCATCAACTGTCATTTGTTTTTCTTTGTCCTAACATCTTATTGGTTTTGAAGATCATATTGCATGTATATCTTAAGCTTTTTGGATTGTTGATGTCTGAAAGAGTGGGTGGGTGAGGAGTGAATAGAAATTTGGGTAGATTGAAGGGTGAAGGTTGGAATATTAGGTATATGGATGAGTGGGTAGGTGTTAGGATGTGTGTGTGTGTAGGCATTTGGATGGATTATTGGATGTGGGGGTGGGTGGATTTTTAGATTTAATAGGATGGGCATCTGGCTGAATATTTGGATGGATGCATGTATGACTGAATATTTGGATATATGAGCAGATGTGTGCCTGGATAAATGTATGGGTGCATAGATAACTGGATGAATGGAGAGGTGGTGAAATTTAGATGATATATTTTAGCATAAATAGATAAGTGGAAGAATGGTTGGATGAGTATTTGTATGGATAGGTTATGGGGTAAGTGGATGGATAGTGGGTGGGTGGGTGGCTATATTGCTGACTGGTTGTTTGAGTAGATGTATATGCAACAGGCAAGTATATGTGTATGGATGGATGGACAGATTGATGGAAGGACGAGGAACAAGAAGAAGTATAGATGAGTACATGGGTGTTTGGATGACTGGATAATATTTTCTCAGTATATGGCATAAATATGTGAAGGGTGAAATAAAATGTATAAAGCATTTTGCCAATGAGTGGTATGTGATGGAAATTCTAACTTATGAGAAAGTACGTAGGCTTTGTAGAATGAAAGGCCTTTGTTCCAATCCTTACCCCACCACTTACTATGTGACCTTTGCAACTGCCTGACCTCTCTGTACTTTAGTTTGCATAACCATAATGTACAGTTAAAATACCTATTCCAGAGGGTTGCTGTGAGAATTAGAAAGGCTGGTGGATATTTCCAGAATAGGCCCTGGCTTTCTTCCTTCTGAGGTACAGAGAGAGTGAGAGCTAGAGAGAGAGACAGGGAGTGGACAGGGAGAATTCTTTTACCTAAGTATGAAATAAAAGTCCTTTCCCTTAGTCTGTTTGATCCAACCCATGTCACATATATTCCATGGGACCAACAGCAATTGCTAGTGGCACTTTCTGTTTGGATTAGATTGATCAGACTTGGGAGGCCGTGGGTTCTACCCTGCATGGAGCCAGTCTGCAGAGGATGGGAGGGGCGTGAAGGCCAGCCTCTAGAGCTGGACCTGGCCACCTTCCCCTGAGTCACCTGATTGAGAGAGGGAACAGTTCTGGAGCTACTGAGTCTTGAGCAATGAGAGATGATACTCATGGTGGCAGGTAATGGAAAGAAGTGACCACTGGGCAACCTGTCACCATGTTAAGGGTATGGAAAAATAACATCTGGTAGCTGATATGAAGGAAAACAAAATTCACTGTGATGGGGACCCCTGGGGCATGCGCTCGTTGCATTAAGTTGGGCTGTAATGCCTTTAGAGTGTATGCAGATCTAGCGAGGGTGGTGCTTAGATTGGTGTGTCTGGGTCTCTGGAGACAGGCTGGGGCTTGGAGACTGGGAAGCAATCAGTATCCCTCTATTTTACGAACTTACGCATCCTTTCAACAAACCTAAAGTCTCACATCCTCCTTTAATGTCACTAAGCCTATTACACATAGAGATTAAAATCAGTTCAAATGAGTTCGAAATCGAGTCTGCTTCCTAGGCTGATTTGATGGCCCCTGCGGGCAGGGAGGTGAAGCCTCCTATCTCGGGGACCTTTGGAGACCTGCTCCGCTTGGTGGGCTGGCTGAGTGGACACCAGGGTGAGTGACCTTGAGCCAAGTCTCGCCTCGGCTCTGCGGTCTCTTGCAGAGCTCCTGAGGCTGCCTCTACTTTGCAGACTGCGCTCCTACTGGGAACTGGTCAGCTGGCCTGGTGGGTCCCCCGCGGGTGCTGTCCTCTGCACCAGCCGGCGGCATGGTGGCCGGGGCCTCTGGGCAGCTCCTCAGGCGGTGGAGGAAGCATCCAGGTCGGCCTTCGGGCCCCTCTTGTCCCTGCAGGCTGGTCCCACGCCGGGCCGAACCCAAGCCCTCGAAAACCCCGGTCCTGTGGACTGCGGCCTTCTGCTCAGCTGCCTCTGAGAGGCACTTCCGGTCCCACTGGGTGCCCGCGCTTCCGGTTCCGGCTGGCTGCGGCACTTCCGCCCCCAGCCGCCCAGGCTCCAGAGCAGGGCCGTGTGGTTGGAACCCGCTGCACGCTACCGACCACCCGTAGCGCGGTGTGCCCTGGTGGAGTTGGACCAGGGACGGTGGCGCCCACGTCGCTGGGAGAAGGACGTGGGGTTTGGCGGCGGGACTTGGGTGTGGAAGCGGCTGTGGAAGGTCAACCAGGCGCCCCTGAGGTGTCCTGGCCTTCTCTCTGGGTCTCAGGGCTGATGGCCTTGGGCCCCTGAGGGGAAACGTTGAAAAAGACTTATGACAGCAAAAAGGGTGACCTTTACAAAGGCCATTGACCATTGTTTAGGAGACAGAAGCCTTTGTTACAACAAGGAAGCCAGACGTGGAAATGCAGGCACCGAGGCTGAGACGGAAGGAAACCCTGGTGGAGTGTTTTAGTCAGCGTTTTCACCGCTGTGACCACAGACCCAACCAGCACAATCATAGAGAAAGGACAGATTGTTGGGGGGCTCCCACGGTTTCAGAGGTCTCAGCCTCTAGATGGCTGGACTCCCTGGGGCTACAGGTGACATAGAGCATCCAGGCAGAAGAGTGGCAGAAGGAAGCATCTCATGGTGACCAGAAAAAGAGCAAGCTGGAGCCCTGCATGCCAAATGTAAATCCATACCCCACGGCCAGGGCCCCACCCATGCCCGCCTTCAGTTTACCCCAATAGGTGACTAGCTCACTGATGGGATCAAGGCTCTCCTAACTCAAGTCATTGCTCGCTGAACCTTCTTACATTGTCTCACCATTACAGGGAATTAGTGGATTTTTGTTTCAATCCACAGATTGCACTTTTGGGTGACGGGCAAAGCTGATTTTACTGTGGTCTCCCCTGTCTCAAGAGAGCCAGTTTCAGAGATTGTAAGCACAATCCCCATGCATTCAGCCTCCTATTGATTGAGAGCCTTTCAAGGAAGCCAGAACCAGGTGCAAATCTTGCGTGCTTCACTGTGCTAGAAATCGGAAGGCACCGCACACATGCCTGGTGCATGGCCCTGCTCTGAAGACTCATGGCTGGCCTTGTTGCAGAGCCAGGATCATCATTTGTATAGCCCTTATGTTTCCCATTCCCCAGGAAGTCCTTCAGTGAATACCTGTTGAGTCCTTGCCTAATCACTCAGATCCAGTGGCTTCAGCAGTGGGGGTGAGGGAACCCCAAGCTCTTCCTCTGACACCTCTTACATCCTTCTTCATTTTACAGACATTGACGAGTGTGAGAATGACTACTACAATGGGGGCTGTGTCCATGAATGCATCAACATTCCAGGAAACTACAGGTGTACCTGCTTTGATGGCTTCATGCTGGCACATGATGGACATAACTGCCTAGGTGAGTAATGCAGCCATGCCATGCTCTCTGGGCATGTCCTGCCTACTTGTTGGCTCCAGCTTATAGAGCTGGAGGCTGTGAGAAAGCTTGCCCTCCTTTGGTTCTTATGTTTGTTTGCTCAGGCTGCCATGAAATACTGCAGACTGAATGGCTTAAAAAAATAGAAATTTATTTTCCTCACACTTCTGGGGACTGGAAGTTCAAGGTCAAGGAATTAGCAGATTTGGTTTCTTGGAAGGGCTCCTCTCCTGGACTTGCAGATGGCCATCTTCTTGCTGTGTCTTCACATGGTCTTCCCCTTGTATATGCATTTATTGGGTGTTTCTCTTTGTCATGATCTTTTCTTATGAGGACACTGCATCATATTGGAGTAGGACCCTCACTAACAATTCTATTTTTAAAAAATATTATTTATTTATTTATTTTAGGTGTAGATGGACACAACACAATGCCTTTATTTTTTTTTTTATGTGGTGCTGAGGATCGAACCCGGGTCCCGCCTGTGCTAGGTGAGCGCTCTAGCACTGAGCCACAATCCCACCCCAACAATTCTAGTTTTAATTTACTTACCTCTTATTTTTTTTAAAGAGAGAGTGAGAGAGGAGAGAGAGAGAGAGAGAATTTTTAATATTTATTTTTTTTTTTAGTTCTCTGCGGACACAGCATCTTTGTTGGTATGTGGTGCTGAGGATTGAACCCTGGCCGCATGCATGCCAGATGAGCGTGCTACCGCCTGAGCCACATTCCCAGCCCCTTACTTACCTCTTTAAAGATCCTGTCACCAAAGATAGTCACATTTGGAGGTATTAGAGGCTGAATTCCTTCAACATAAGAATTTCAAAGGGACACAGTTCAGTCCACAATGTTGTATATTCCTATGGCTCAAATATATTTTTCAAGCTAGATGTATAAAATGTATAAGCATAGTCTACTTTTGCTGAATAAAATTGGAAAAATATAGAAGATTAGGGAAAGAACTTGGAAAGCATCTTATCTTCACATGGTCTTCCCCTTGTATATGAATGTGTAGGGTATTCCATCCATCTTCTCTTGTGTCCAGGTATGCACTACCCACTGTGATGGTTGGATGATCCTCATGTTTTTGTCGCTTGCTTCTCCTTCTAACGTCATATGTACCTCGGGTATTTTCCTGTGGCCCCTGTTGCTACCATCTCCTAGTTGCTCCATGAACTAAGTTGCCAACAACCTAGCTGAGTTTTGTGGGGCCACGGTAACAAAACTGGGTGCCTTAAACAAGAGAGACTTTTTCTTTTACACTTCTGGAAGTTAGGAGTCTACAAACAAATGGCAGGGTTGATTCTGTCTGAGGACTGCAAGTGAAGATCTATTCTAGGCCTTTCTCCTAGCTTGAGGTATTTGTTGGCTTCTCCCTGTGTCTTCACATGTCTTAGCTCTATGTCCAAATTTCTCATGTTTCTAAGGAAACCAGTGGTGTTGGATTAGGGCCCACTATATCATGTTAACCTGATCATCTGCAAGATTGCATTTCAGAAAAGGTTACATTCACAGTACTGGGGTTTAGGACTTCATCATGTTTTGAGGGGACAGCATTCAACCCATAATAGGTGTTCGCCATCTGTAACAAGAGAAACATGATAGAACATGCATGGCTGTTGGAGCATGCTTGCCTGTCCCCAAGCCTGCTCCTGCCATGGCTGCTGAGTGACTAGAAGCACAGCAGCTAGAGACCAGATTAACGGTCTGGATTTGGCAGGAGCATGACCAGGGATGAGTTATTTACTTGTTGGAGGTCTTGGTTACTGTTCACAGCAGTAATGTCAAGACATCTCAGCAGCAGACTGGCCCAAGTGCCCTCGAGCTTGTGGCTGGTACTGTCGTCATGGTCTCTGAGCCTCATCTTCCCATTCTAAAGTAGGATCTCTGTGCCACCCACACCATTAGGCTGGGTGCAAGGATGGAATGACAGTGTGAATGAAGTGACTAGCACTTACTAGGTGCTGTTTTGATAGGCATTATTGTTACTCTGGAGAACTTGGCTACCTTTTTGTTTGCTTCTTTTGTTAGTTCTCACCATCAGAATCCAAAGGTGATTCTCTTTCCTATCTTCCCATGTGTAGAATCCTTCGCATGAGTGGAACTAAGGAACCAAAAAGTCCCTTGGATTTTTGATGGACTTTGGTGCAGCACTTTCTAAAAACTCTGAGCAAACCTTCCATTCTGCCACCTAGTTTTAGGGCACATAGTATGGACAGTGTGACACCCTGAGCACTTGGGGACTCTGCCTCTTAGTGGCAAGTTAGCCTGAGTTTCCTGCCTGTTTTTGTTTAATTCATGTTGGGTCTCAGATGATGTTATGGGAAACAGATCTGTGAACATGTAATTATACCCAAATCAGTGCCAAAACAGAGGCCTGAACAGCAAGTTCCTGTGAAAAGTTTCTCCTGAATGAAGTGGGAGTGGGGAAGGGAGCAGGGTTAAGGGGTGGGGGGCTTCAAAGAGGAGCTAGTTGGAAGTGGGATCTCCTGAGGCTGAGGAGAAGTTGGCTAGGTGGAGGGCCTAGCCTGCATTGAGGGCTGCAGGCAGTTCATCGAGGCTGGGCTCAGAGTATATGGGAGGAGTGCTGGATAGTGGGACCATAGAGCCAGGCAACTGCATTATGGCACACACCAGTTAAGTATTGTCATTTAATCCTCCAAAAATATAAGTGCTCCACTGTCCCAGTTGTTTGCGTATCCTGTCAGTAACCAGTTAGTCAATTCAGGCAGAGCTTACAGACTCTGTGGGACAGCCCATTATAAGCAGGCAGTATCACTCAGTGGCCAAGAGAACATACCTTGGGAACTGCCAGTTTGGGACTAAATCCTGGCTTTCCAGTTTGAGTAGTATGACCTTCGCCTGCCTTGTGCCTGTCCATATCTGTAAAAAGGAATGCTTAAGCCCTATCGTGTTGGGTTCTTGTGACGTTTCAGTGTGAGCACAGATGTAGAGCAGAGAGCAGAGTGCCTGACACCAGACCCAAAATGTCACAGTCTTTCAAATGACACGTGTTAATATGAGCTGATTTGACACCCTGTGGACCTCACAGGGCCAGGGCCCTGTCTGCACTCTCTGGATTGTGTCTGACCCACGGGGCTCCCCTGCTGGCCCTAGCACTAGGATCTGTGCAACATCACCTGCCCATAAATGCTCTGCTGTTCTCCATGTCAGGAGTACCCCTGCTCTCTGGGCCCAACCCTATAGACCCACTGTGGAGTCTGGTGGATCTTTGTTTCAACAGCATTATTTTCCCAGCAGATTTTTTTTTACACTGATTAACTTAAAAGAACTAGGTAAGACTCCCACCTTCCTGCTGCCCCACACTACACCATCACCTTTGAGTGCAGAGTGCACCTTCATTCGGCTCAGATGTACACATGTGGCAACCAAGGCAAGCAGCTCCTTGTGAAAGCCCTACCTTCAACTGAGGGAAGACCCTTTCCATAGACTTCTTTTTGTTTTTCTTCTCAAAAAGAAACTCCAACTAGGAATTAAACCAGAGATACTAAGCTCTAGGGTATATAAAGAACTCAAAAAGCTAAATACCAAAAAAAAAAAACAACAACAAATAACCCAGTCAATAAATGGGCCAAGGAACTGAACAGACACCTCTCAGAGGATGATATACAATCAGTCAACAAATACATGAAAAATGTTCAACATCTCTAGCAATTAGAGAAATGCAAATCAAAACTACTCTATGATTTCATCTCACTCCAATCAGAATGGCAGCTGTTAAGAATACAAATAACAATAAGTGTTGGCGAGGATGTGGGGAGAAAGGCACACTCATACATTGCTGATGGGACTGAAAATTGGTACAACCAATATGGAAGCAATATGGAGAGTCCTTGGAAAGCTGGGAATGGAACTACCATTTGGCTTAGCTATCCCACTTCTTGGTCTAAACCCAAAGGACTTAAAAAACAGCATACTATAGGGACACAGCCACATCAATGTTTATAGCAGTGCAATTCACAATAACTAAACTGTGGAACCAACCTAGACGCCCCTCAGTAGATTAATGAATAAAGAAAATGTAATATATATATACACAATGGAATATTACTCAGCAATAAAAGAGAATGAAATCCTGGCATTTGCAGATAAATGGATGGAGTTGGAGAATATAAGTGAAGTTAGCCAATCCCAAAAAAACAAATGTTGAAGGTTTTCTCTGATATAAAGAGGCTGACTCATAGTGGGGTTGGGAGGGGGATCATGGGAGGATTAGACGAACTCTAGATAGGGCAGAGGGGAGGGAGGGGAAGGGAAGGGGCATGGGGGTAAAAAAGATGGTGGAATGAGATGGATATCATTACCCTAAGTACATGTATGAAGACACAAATTCTGTGAATATACTTTTTATACAACCAGAGATATGAAAAAATTGTGCTCTATATGTGTAGTATGAATTATAATGCATTCTGCTGTCATATATAACAAATTAGAATCAAATTAGTTAGTTAATTAATTTTTTTAAAAAAGAAACTCCAGCTCAGGGAACAGACCTCCATTCCATCTGGCTCCAGCCCAGACTGAACATGTGACCTTATGCTAGTCAGGTGACCTTTTAGAGCCTCAGCCCCCTCATCCATGAAATGCTGTGAGAATTAGATACCTGGTACAGCGTCAGGACATGGGAGCCAAAACAGACACTGCCCACAGTCAGCTTGGCCTGGAGTTGGAAGATTTAGGGTCACACTCTGGCATCACCAGTCATACATCACAGCCTGTGTGTCCCGCTCCTTGACCTTCCTAGCCTTTGTACCCCAGCTATGAAACAGGTCAGCGGTGCCAGCCTCAGAGGAGTGGGAGGTGATTAAGGAGAAGGAGACGTAGAGAGCTCGGCACACAGATGTAAAGCCCTGTTCCAGTGCTGGCTGTTGTCACCGTATCATGGCAGAGGTTTCAGGCTGGCAGCCATAGCCCTCATCTGACCCACAAGCAAGTCTGGTTTAACCATACAGTGGTGGTGTTTG